ACATGAAAAATTTTTCTATTTAAATTAAATTTTTTCATTTTATACGGTTAATTCTTTAATTTTTGTGGTAACATTTAAATTGAGCAAGGTCACGCAAGTTTGTGATGTTTTGTATAATATTTTGAAAGAGAATTAAATATCCACTACTTTAGTTGCGTGGAAGAGGAAACGTCTTTGAATGAATTGTGATATAATGATTTCATTTAAGAGGAATTTAAACCATTTGGATTGGAATAGGAAGATTCTTCAATAAGTATACGTATACTTAGATTTCATTGTATAAAAATTAAAGATAGTACTATTTGGATTAAGTAAATAATAAATAAAGATAGTATCACTTCAGTTTTACTTTTCATTCTGATAGTAGAATTTAACTTGGCGCCACAGTTATTGATATCAAATCGTTCGTACAAATAATACATATCATTAGATTAATATTCATTATTTATTTAATTTGGCATGGTATAAAGAAGTGGGATTTAACTTGGCGCCAGTTCTTGATATCAAATCTTTTATAGGAATACATAAAATTTTTTTGATAAAATTTTGATGAATTTAACTCGGCGCCAATTTTGTTGATATCAATTATAAGAATATGATACATATCATTAGAATTAAATAAATTATTTTTTCTTTGGGAGGAATAAAATGGTAAAAGTTAATTTGTTCGAATTACATTGAATTTAACTTGGCGCCAATTGTTGATATCAAATCTTTTATACAAATAATACATATCATTAGTTCTACTAAACAGCAAACATAATTAGTTATCAGATTCACGGCCGATTAAAAAAATGATTTCTAACCTTCTATAATACATATAACGTTAAATGCAGGCATTACTATTCATTATTATGTACATTTTTAACAATTATATAAATATAGCCTTAAATACAAATAATGAGGCCACAAGATTTTCAATTTTTGACTGGGAATAAGATAAAAAGTAGTAAAATAAATATTGATGTATTTAAATTTGTAGTCTAATTTTTACCATAATAATATAACTCAAGGCTACGTTCCAAAACTTCCTCTCTGGAGAAGATTTTACTTTATATGCTGTAGTATATATACGTTACGTATACTACATATTTCGACTAAAATTTTCCTCGGAGAGGATCGAAGTTAATTGGAACGTAGCCCATGTAGATATATATATATATTTACCTTTTATGTGATCGAATAATTTTACCAATGCCTCCAATAGGTTATTTCCGTTATTTCGCTTAAAGTGTTTTTTTGTGAGATTTCTGATTTCGTCAAAGATTTAAGATCTCGATATCAATTAAATACGAAATGCTGATCGATGTACGACACGTGCTATTTTATAGATGGCGAGAAAGAACTGGAAAATATATAGGTTAGATATCAATTTAATCCTTGATAATCTGAAGAATCTCATGTATAAATCAAATAATAACAGCAATCTAATATTAAAACATAACAC